GATGCAAGGGGTTCTGGTTACTGGCTTGCCCATCCTGCTCTCTTGCTTGCTCAGTCAGCTTTCTCATAAAACCTAGGAACACCAGCACAAGAATGGCATCTCCCTCAATGGGCTAGGCCCTCCCAGTCACTAATTAAGAAAATGCCCTACAGGCTTGGCTACAGACTCCCACCTCTGAAGTGACCCTAGCTTTTGTTAACATCAACCCAACCAGCACAAAAGGTCACAGAGCAAAGACTTCAGTACTGAAAATGTTGGAAGCCTCTTCTATAGGCTGGGAAAGACATGTCTGATTCTAATGACAAATTCTAGCTGTGATCAAAAGCGAGTGAGGAAACAATTTTCATGCAGTACAATTGTCACAGTCATGTGTCTGTGTCTGTGTCTGTGTCTGTGTCTGTGTCTGTGTCTGTGTAGCTGTGTGCTGTGCCTGTATGCCCATGGGCCTGTGGGGTGTGTGTGTGCGTGTGTGTGTGTGTGTGTGTGTGTGTGTGTATAGAAATGAATGTGTACATTTCAGAAAGAGTATATAGTTATGAAAGAATTTAAAAACAAGTTGATGCCTAGATTAGTTCCACTTTCAGCTTTGTAAAACTGTCAAACTAACACTGATTCACATAGTATGCAAAAAAACACAGAAATAGCCAAAGTAAGTCAAAAGACTAATACAGTCTGGCTTCAAAGTTTCTGTAAGGCTAAAGTAGTGAGGCAGTAATAGTCACTTAAGGAAGCAGCAGGAACCCATCCCAACTTGAGGATAAATATGTAGATGAGTGGAGCAGACCAGAGAGTTCAAAGGAATCTTCATATCCATGATCAACTGGCTTTTCAGTAAGGCTCAAAATCAATTTAATGTAGGAAAGGATAATCTTCTAACCAGTGGGGCAACTGTATATTCAACCATAGAAAGAAAAGGGGAGAGGGTATACTCTGACTTCATCATACCATATCTCAAAACTCCGAATGTATCATAGCTCTAAAAGTCAGAACTTAAATCTATAAAATTTTAAGAGGATAGGGAAAAATTTGTGTGACACTGGTTTGACCAAGATTTCATAATTACAATACCAAAAGCATAAAGAAGAAAAGAAAAAACTGACACAATAGACTTACTACATTCCTCAAAAGACATAATTATGATAGTGAAAAAAATCACAGACTTTCTAGCTTTAAAGACTAGTCACTTGATACAGGGTATATTTGGAATATGGAATATTAAAAATTAAACCCATATAATTTAATTTGAAAACAAACAATTGAAAAACAAGAAAAATATTTTTGAATAAGTATTTTATAAGAAAAATATGAATGGTTAATAAGCATATAAAATGATGTTCAAAATCATTAGTATTTAAGTGCAAATTTGAAATACAATTGGATATGTTTATGCAACTTATGTCCCAAAATGCTAACAATATTGAGGGTTGGGAACAATATGGAAAAGGGAACCTTCATGAGCTTGAGGGCATGTAAACTGGTGTGATAACTTTTAATAATATGTTGACTACATATTCAAATTTTAAACACATACTTAGCCTAAAATTGAACAGATACTCACAGATTTGTTATTTATTTACAATAGCCAAACAGTACAAATGTTCGTTATAACAGAATACTGGTTGGCAATAAAAAGGAATAAATAACTTGTATGTGGAAAAATATGTATGCGCCTCAAAAACATTATTCTAAATTAAGAGGCTAGAAGAGAAAGAAAAAAAAAGAGAACACAAATCTATAGAGAAATAGACAAGTGGTTACTGGGAAGTGGGGGCAGACATGGGAGTTGACTATAAATATACCTCAGGAATTGTTTGAGGTTGACAGAAATATACTAAATCAGATAGTGGTGATGTCTCACATTTGCATAAATACTCTGAAAATTGCTGAACTGCAGATACAAGGGATGAATTTTATGATGTGTGAGTTTTGCTGAAGCTATTTAACAAAAGAGAACAGAAGACACTGCCCTGCCTCTTCTATACGGACTGTATCTCAAAATTGCTGAACCACTGATAAAAAAAGATTACAGGAGTCCCAGAGTATGTGTGCTCCTCCTGCTTTTTCTTTTTGTTTTTATTTTGGTAGTTGTTGTTGTTGTTGCTGCTGGTGGTGATAATTGTTGTTTTGTTTTGTTTTGTTTTGTTTTTGGAGGGGAGGTGCCTACTTAAATGCTTAGAGTTGGATGGGTGAGAAAGTGGGGAAGAGCGGGAAGGAGTTGGAGGGGAAACTATGATCAGAATATATTGTATAGAAAAATGTTTTCAATTAAAAAAGAAAAAGAAAAAATTACAGACTCTGAAGAGATGGTTCACGAGGCAAAGTACTTCTCACAGGAGCTAAAGACCAGTTAACCCAGAACCCAGAAAAATGCCTGTGAGAATGGTGGTGTCCACCTATAATCCCAGCATGCAAGCAGCATAGGCATGAAATCCCTAGAGCAAGCTGTCTAGCAGATTGGCCTAACGGGCAAGTTCCAGGTTCAATATAGTGAGGGACCCTGTTCAAAATATAAGGTGGAAGGTGGTCTAAGAGATCACCAGATACGTACTTTTAACCTATATTCATTCTCATTTCCCCCCCCCCATCTCTCTTCTCTCTCTCTCTTCTCTCTCACTCTCTCTCAAAAAGAATGACTTATTATAACAATAACTATTTGCTACCCCCTAGTGGAAAAGCTGGTTCTCAGTGGATGCTACACTAGTAGATCCAAAGCTGATCAGAGAGTTATAACGGAGGTTTCAGGATGATGTTGTCTAGACCAAAATGACCGATCTCTACATTGCTAAGGACAAGATAGTCATGTCACCTGGCATGATACAATAAGCACAAATACTATCAAAAACTATAAAAACTCTCAAGGATTCTTGCCAAATAACAAAACCAAGTAAAAATAAGCCTGAATCTAAACTCTTCCAGTCCTAATTAGCAGCTTATATAAAATGAGCAATACATAAGCCAAACTGAACTTTGGTAAGGACATAAGTAGACAATATAAGAGACAGAACATTCTGAAGGATCTAGTTTTCTTATTCTCAACATTAAAAAGAAACAGAAAAATGTGGAACACCATTACAGATAAAAAGAAACTAAAGAAATAAATGGCCACATAATGTCATCACTAAAGCCTGAGAAGATCCTTATTTTAAGAAACTAATTTTAAAAAGACATTTGGAGGACAGATGAAGAAATAGGAAACAGGACTAAACAAATAAATGACTTTATTGAAGAGCACAGTGGCTCTAAAGCCTGCGTCTGTTATGCACCTGTAGCACAATGACACAGTGTATAAAACTTACATTTATGTATTTAGACTGCCCAAGTATACTGCAAGTGGCCAGCAAGAACATGGGATATGATTAATGAAACCTCAAAACTTACTGGCTCCAGGCGATAGGCACTGGGCAGGCATCTCTCCATTAAGAATTTTCTCCACTCAGTGGATTTTTTCATTTTCTATATGAAATCATTAGGGAACAAAGAAGACTGTACAACAAGAAGGAAGACCAAAAGAAAAGAGAAGAGTTTGTGGACGAAGACTGCTGTGAAAGTCATCCAGGAAACAGCACACAAAGCCAAACTCTATGCCTTAAGAACAGAGGAAGATGAAGTGCAGAGATATGAACAACAGAATACCATAGCTTGACAGTATGAGAGAGGGTAACTCAGAAAGGGGTTAGAAAGCAGAATGCCATTTTATGAGTAGAGGATCAAAAAAAAAACTGAATCAGGGAAATCAAGACACTTTTCAAATAACAATCATCAGTAACTAGTAATCTGACACCCTAAAATTTCTAACCAAGTAGTGGGGGAAAACATTAATTTTCTCTCAATGGAAAAAGTTGTAAATGAGAGAAATGGTCATCTTCAGTGTTTCTAATATATGGTTTCCCAGATAATGAACAAGATGTTCAGGAAATATTAAATGCATAGGCCTATAGGCAATAATCATCATTGAGCTTGTCTACCACACTGGAAAATATAATGTCAGGCCCTAGAACAGAAATGAAATAACAAGATACTGGCCCCTGGTGTAAAGCATTCTCTGAATAAGTCACTCAACCACAATTCCCATAAAATGAGGCAGGGAAGCTTGTTCCCACCCTCTTATACCCTAAGATTTAAGCCTGGTGCCATTTTCCATGTTTCTAAGCTGCTAGAGAGCCCATGGGGTGGGGCATGAGGGGGAAACAGGAGCACTGCCCAACACCAGCACTGCTGACCTTTTGAAATGCGAACATCAGTCTGTAATTTCAGACTTTTCTACTTTTTTTCCACTTTTTAATTTTTTATTTTATTTTTAACTTACTTTACATCCCACTCACTGGCCCCCCCCCCGCATGGTCCTCCCCTTCCCCAATCCTTCTCCATACCCCCTCCCCTTCTCCTCTGAGGAAGTGTCCCCCTCCCAGGTATTCCCCCATCCTTTCGACTTTTAAGTATAAATATCAGCCTTCCTTTCACAACCAGGGCCTAAATGGGCTTCGCCCAAGTCTACATCTACCACTGCTATAGCTTTTTCCATCCGAGCTCTGTACAGAATATACTGTCAATCTGAGCCTTGAAGAATAATTGACACCTACTAAGGTAAAGGCACTGATTTTTCCAGCCAGGCTACCTGGAGCTTCTGTGAATCTCTTGACATTCCTGACTCTTATACTGAACAGTTTTGTTTGCAGGGCAAAGTTCCACCTATCATGACCCTCCATCAGAACACTCTAAGCCACCTTGACCAAAGAACATCTAAGTAATTCTTTATTTTCCATAGACCAAAACAGAAAAAAGAAAAGGTTTCAGTTCATCCACAGCAAAAAGATAGATGCTTTACCGTCTCAGGAGGACTTTGAAATTCTAAAAATTATGAAAATGTCTCAGTTCAACATATTTTAAATCCTACTAGATCTTTTAAACTTTTATTTAACCCCAAATCATCTTAGTGCTATTCTTAGTGCAGGTTGATATTTCTAAAATGTTTTCAGTAGTAATTAAAATGAACAACTCACACTCAAGCTGTGCAACCACATCTCCAGGGTCTACTGCTTCCGGGAACACCTGCGGTGAGAGGGTGAGAGGGCAGGTGAGGGCACAGCAGGGGCAGTGTGGGAAGAGGAAGCCAGAGCAGAGAGAAGTAAGACTGTTTTCTCAATCAGTTCCCAAAATGTCTTTCCTTGCCCAACCAAAAAAAAATCTTGGTTTGTTTGAGGGGTTTGGTTTGGTTTTGGAGAGAAAGATTCATTATGTAGCACAAGGCTGGTCTTGAACTCTCAATCTTTCTGTCAAACCCCCTCAAATTCTGGGGTTGCAGGAATAATCACCATGCCAATCCTCCAAACAAACTGTCCCAATACTGAGAAGTGCCAGTTTCTCTCAGTTTCCCATGATTTCACAATTACATCTCTAACTGGATCTGCCTCCCTCACCAACATCACCCACGAGGGCTCTTACCTGTGGTCCTCAGGATGATCCTGTGAACCTTAGTATTCCAACACAGCAAGCTAACTCTTTACAGGAAGCCTTTGTCTTTGTTAACTCTCTACTTAGAATTCTCTCCCCCTAGACCCCCAAACAACTATTAGTCTCATTCAAGCTTGGTTTAAATATTATTGCCTTCTTAGGCAATTAACAAAAAATGTCTCCCCTCCCCTATTTTCTGACCCTTTATTGTATTTATGCATTTATTAAGCTACAAGAAGAAATAGTTTTGCCTTATCATATATCAGTACCTATATCAGTCCATAGACTAGAGAAGAAAGTAGGCCATTTTATTTGTGAAGAAAAGAAAAAAGACAAGGGAAGGAGAGGGAGAAAAGGGGAAATGAGGTAGGGAGGAAGGGAAGAAGGAGGGAGGGATAAAGGGAGGGAAGACTACCCTATAAGGACAAGGTAAGTCTGGCAGGAAGGGGAATATGATTGGTAATAACTACCAATACCAGTCCTTTTAAGGATAATAAAGAGAGAGGCTTGGTGAAACAGAAAAGCACAATATATTCCTAAGTAAAACAGCATACACTTACCTATTTGTGCCTTATTTTGTACAGAAGCTGTTATTCACCATGAATAGCACTAAGATGTTTTGGAAACAGGCAACTGACTCAACGCATAATGTAAGGAATATTTTCAAAAGTCGAAGTTTGTTACAATTTTCCCTTTGAATTAAACCGAAGCACATAGTCAGCAATAATAGTTTATGCTGCAGAATTTTATTCAAAAGCAGAATCCCTCTGATTTTTGTTGGTAAATACTTGATCTGATTTTTGAACTCACCTTTTCAAACACCATTCTGGCATTGAAGACCAGGGGAAAAGTGGCTGGGACACATTGTGTCTTTTTGTATTGGCCAAACACACAGATACTAAGATAGATGTCCTCCTTATCTTTCAGCACCACTCCTGGACAAGTTACCTGAAAACAATTAGATAAGTGTCCATAATGCATTGTAATTCACTGAGCTATCCCACCAATGTGCTGACAGACAGCCACTGCTCACCAGAATGTCCCACAGAGTTCAGTGAGATACCATTATATTCCCTTCCCCCTTAGAAACCTATCATTCTCTATTTGGTTATCTGTGCAACATTGAAGACTCTATATACTGGTTTAGGGGACATGCCCGAATAATTTAATAATTTTAAACAGTCTTTAGCTCTCATTTTCTGCTGAATGCTGACATAAACTTATTCGACACCATTTAATCACAAAGGACTAGCACTCAGCAGAAATAAAGCATTATACTCAAGGACAGAAAACAAAAACCCTGCGAAAAGCATGGATCTATTATTCCTCATCACCCTGAAGAATAAAATAGTTCAAAAGTGATAGGATAAAGTTTCAAAGCCAGAAAAATAATTTTTATAGCCTACTCAAGTGTATTTTAAATATTAAATAACATTCACTTATCCTCATTGTTTTGGTTATTTTATTGTGGTGACACCATGAATAAAGCAACTTATAGAAGAAAGTGTTTATTAGGGGCTTAGAGTTTCAGAGGGTTGGAGTCCATGGTATAGTATGGCAGCAGGCAGGCAGGAATGGCACTGGAGCAGTCGCTGAGCTTACATCTTGATCCACAAACACAAGGCAGAAAAAGCTAACTGAGAATGGTTTGTGTTGGGGAACCTTGCTGTTAAGGTAGCAGTCCCCTATGACCTGATAGTTGTCTGAGCTCAATGCAAAATGGGAAATTCTCTTTCTTAGCAGGGCTTCCCTGCCTCTGCCTCTGCCTCTGCCTCTGTCTGGACAGTGTCTTTGTCAGGAGTGTCCCTGAACACAGGTGGCTAGCCTTGTCTAAAAAGTGACCTTGTACAGGGCTCTCTGCAAGGCTGCATAACTCAGTATGTATGTCCCAACCTAGCTTCCCGCCTGCAGGATAATTAGGTACTGTACTAAAACCAATCAGCCCTTCCTACCCGCTTGATGCCATGATCAATTAGCCCTTTCCAACTGTACTCCTAAAAATGCCCATATATACTCTATCTCTAAAACAATAAAGTACACTTGTCTTGCTGCACCAGTCTCAAAAGATTGTTCCGCCCATGTCCATACTTACAGCCTCTGCTCCCCTTCTCCCCTTAAGCTTGTAGCCAACGGCCTCCAGGAAGACAGGGAAGCCCATAGTATAGACTTTTGAAATCTGAAAGCCCAGCCCTCTGCTCCAACAAGGTTGCACAGCTCCTAATCCTTCCTAAATATTTCTACTAACTTGAGCCCAAGTACTCAAATGTATGTATGAGCATGTGGGGACCATTCTCACTCGAATCACTACACTCATTATGATGGACACAGTATATAGGAAAAATATTGAGTTTCTAAACAGCACACACCAGTCTCTTCAACCCCTTACACATTCCAGTATCATTTTCTGCCATATTATTAAGAGGGTATTAAAGATCTTTAAGACTTCAATCCAACATTCTAATATTATATAATACCTCCACCCACTAACAGTATACTCAGAATATAAGGAGCCAGGTTTAGTAATCCTAATACTCAAAGCACTGAGGCAAGAAGATTACAAATTCAAGGATATCCTGGGCTACATAATAAGACCCTCTCTCAAGAAAGAATATTTTTACTTTTTTCCAAACATACACATCAATTTCGTATCCCACATTCTTCTATTGCCTACGTAATAAAAATCTGATTAAAAAGTAAGAAACAGAAATTCTGCTCCTTACTCTCCTGTTCCATCTCATGAGCATTTACTTCTGACACCCATCAAGTCATATGTAACTGTCTTCTCCTACCCAACGCATCTTAACTCACTAGTTATGATAATTCAGTTTCATTTAAACATTTGGTGCTATCTTAATAGTAAACACATGTGATTTAAATTCTAACAACCCTGTATAACTTTCTTACAGTAAGATTATTGTCTGTGTTTATCTAAGAAAGTGGAATGGATATCTCATTTCTTTAATCTAGTTATAAATTAACTGAGGACAGAGATTTTTGTTTTCCTCATGATTTATACCAAAAACATGAACTTACAGAATTAAAAACTTTATAAATTATTTAGTATAGCAACAGATATTTATATATGAAAACATCAGAATCCCAAGAAAGTTTAGGTAATTACAAATAATATCACAAGTAAACTATCGATAAAATTCAGTCAGTATATTCATAGCCCTTGGGACAGTGGCTGACAGTTCATCAGTGTAGTCATCAATATCATTCTTTTTTTTACTTATTCACTTTATATCTCACTCACTGTCCCCCTCCCAGTCACCCCTTCCCACATTCCTTCCCCCATCCTCCTCACTTTCTCCTCTGAGCAAGTGAGGGCCCTCATGATATCTGGCACATCAAGTCTAGGCAAGGCTAGGCATATTCTCTCCCACTGAGGCCAGACAAGGCAGCCCAGCTAGTAGAACATATCCACATACTGGTAAAAGCTTTTGGGATAGCCCCTGCCCCAGTTGTTCAGGACCCACACGAAGATATCTGCACATCTGCTACATGTATGTGAGGGAGGCCTAGATCCAGGCCGTGTATGTTCTTCAGTTGGTAGTTCTAGGCTTTGGGGACAGGTTTGCAAAGGACTGTAGAAGAATTTAGAGATACAAGCTGGAGCATCTCTGGAACACTGTGAGCAAAGCTTATCAGGCCATTCTAGGAAGAGTTCAGAAGATCAGAATGCTGATTGAAAATCCTAGTATTATGGTATGGACTATATAGGTGTGTATTTGTAAGTGTTAAAGATTAAATAGAAGCCTGAGGCTACTCACACTAATAGGAAAGGTGCCTGAGGGTAAGACGCTTCACCTTGAAGTTCCAGGGTATAAAACTGAAACTCACTTAAAAGACTTTTTATTTGGAAGGATAATATCTCTGCATATGACTCTTGCTCAAAACAGTGCTGTTAGGACAGATGTTAGTAGTAAGACAGACTGAGCTGCAGCCTCCCTGCCTTAGGGAGGACATAAAGAACATGTAGCAGTAGTAGTACACAACATTACCCTGTGAGCATAGCAGACATCATGCTCATCAGAATAGCTATGAATACTTCAAGAGAACCTCAATATCAGGCTTGCTAACTGTTAAGTTCCTTCATAGAAGGAAGGGCTGAGCTAGGTCACTGGATCTCAGCTAGACTTCTATATGTTCAAGCCTAACCTCTTAGCCAATTGCAAGTAATTCTGTTCTAATTGTGTGTGGCTTTGTGGTCTTGGGAGGTGCCAGAGTATATAAACTGTGGGAAGTTTGCTGAAGGGGGACCAGGTATTGTAAGGGTGAAAATTAAAACAGCTCAGCAGAGACCACAAACAACTTGGCAAAGACCGCAGGACAGCTTGCTGAGCTTGCTGAGAATAGCCATAATAAAAATATCAAGCCCTTCTAGGGACAAGGTGACCAGATATCTTGACCAGTCTAAACATGCACAAGTGAGTAATGGGCCACCTGGTGTTTATCCTAGAAGGTCTGAGGCTTCATGGTCAAAAATAGTGGGCTATCCAGCCTGTCAAAATGATTGCTTACGAGAAGTGCTGATGTTTGAAATATCCAATCATATATAACCGCGCCAGAATTTCCCGCTTTTCCCTTCCCCCTTGTGCCTCCCCCTATAAAAGTTCTAAACTTCCTGGGGTCTTCATCGAAATTCTCTCCCCTGCGTGGGATGAGTTTCGATCCAAGGGCCCTTATTAGTAAACTGCCTTTTGCTATTTTGCATCAAGTCAGTCTCTCGTGTCTCCTTGGGTGCGCGCTGATCGGGACTTGAGTTGGGGTCCTCTTTCTGGGTCCTTACAGTATATAACTATGGAAACATGTGATCCACAATGGGGTGAAACTTTCTGGTGGTAAGGTTGCTTTGGGGTCACCTACCCAGTAAACTCAATGGTTTCCCAAGTTGGACTACAGTGGAGTCTTATTTTGGTTTTGTCATTGGTGCCTTATAAGGGAGAGGTGTTTGAGTCTCCCAAGAGGAAGATTGCCAGCAACAGGTAATTACTCCAGTTTGGCTGTAAAGATAGTGAGGAAAGGTCACTTGAATCAAGATGTGAAAATAATGTGTGATGGTCCCTCCAGATGGACAAACTCAGGGCTCCCAAAGCAAGATACAAAGTCCAATAGGCAGTAGTGGTGTCTAGATGGGTCAGCTAAAATCAACTTCATAGTCATCCTCACAGGAAGCATGCACAGAGTGCTATTACCTTCTCTCTTAGAGAACTTTTTACTTTAGGAGTAACTTAAATTCATACTTCCTTTATTCAAAATAGAATGAATTCTGAGTAAAATGTGCTTGGGGTGGGGGGAGGTACACCCATTTCCTGGAAATCCCACTTTGGGGGAAGGTACATTGGAGAAAATAACAAACGAGAAATGTAAGCCCCATGTCTGTTGGGTCAGGACCATTGCTGCTTGTCTAGCCCTTGCTCCTTTTCTAAAAAGCATATTCTTGTATCTTTGCTTGCTCTAACTAAACTCCTTCTTGATTGTTTGTTTGGTCTACTACCATGTCACATTAAAAATCACACTTTTTCAGGGGTACAATAATGGATAATGCCTCTCAGGTCAAAAATCAGAAGAAACTGGAGATCTCCCCCCACACACACACAACAATGTCACATAAATAAGGATTTCCTGTGCTGAACACACAGAAGTCAGTCACTGCAACCATGTTCCCAAAGGGTCCAGCTATATCTAGAGCTGGCAGCAATATCTGTTTGCAGCTAGACATTTAGATTGCAAGAATAAGGATTTCATTGGAGGTTTGTGCCAGGTTTAAAAGAAAAGCCTATGAGGTAAAACAACACATAGCAGGGTTTGATTCCCTGAGCTTTGAGCTAGCATGATCACTGGAGGTAAAGTCTAAGAGACTAAAGATGCCAAAAACATGGAATAACTGCTGAAGGAAGATACAGGCATTGAAAAGAGATAGCCTAAGAAAGAAGCAGCGTGTG